TTCGTAAAAAAGTAACACATGATGTCTCTTTGAACCAATACTCCTATAGTATGATTAGCTCTTAATACTTTAAAAAGAGAAAAGAAAGATTAAAGGAGAGTGACAAATATTTAAAAAAAAAAGGTAACAAAAACTCAAAAGTAACAAAATCTTAAAAAAAAAAAATGACAAAATCAATTTGTGGGCTTTTTTCGGAATTTCAGGGTTTTGGGCGTAATTAATACGAAAATTTGTAGTTCTATTTAGTTTTAAGGGAATTAATCTAATGTTTTATTTTTTGAGGGTAGTGAACCTAATTTTTCCTTATTTTATAAGAAAAATGTATGGTTGAAAATTGTAATTGAATAGAGAACTGGGAATTTTTCTATATTCATATTCATTGGAAATCACGCTATATATATATACACATGTACAATCTATCTAAGGTATGCTAATTTCTCTAGTTAATTACGTTAATTTAGCTATTGAAATTAGGCTAATTAGAGACTAATTAGGCTACTGTAATTAGGCCTAATTAGAGACTAATTAGCTCGTAATGTTAGCCTATTATTTTGTAACTCTCCCCCTCAAGCTGGAGCATAGATATTAATCATGCCCAGCTTGTTACAAAGATACTCAACCCTAGTCCCATTTAACGCTTTTGTGAAGATATCCCCAAGTTGCTCTCCAGTCTTTACATAACCAGTAGAGATTATATTTTCCTGGATTTTCTCACGAATGAAATGACAGTCAACCTCAATGTGTTTAGTCCTTTCATGGTATACCGAATTTGTGGCGATATGAAGGGCAGCTTGGTTGTCACACCAGAGTTTTGCTGGTACCGAAGGCTTCAATCCAACCTCAGCTAGAAAATGTTGTATCCACAAAATTTCACATGTAGTCTGGGCCATGGCTCTGTACTCCGATTCTGCACTGGACCGGGATACGACATTCTGCTTCTTACTCCTCCAGGACACAAGGTTTCCACCAACGAAGATGCAATACCCTGTAGTAGACCGTCTATCAATTTTAGATCCAGCCCAATCAGCATCTGCAAAGCCTTCAATGCAAAAATGTCCGTGATTGTTATACACTATACCAAGGCCAGGAGCTCTTTTCAGGTAACACAAGATCTGTTCCAATGCTGTCCAATGTTTTACTGTAGGCGCAGACATAAATTGGCTAACAACACTGACAGCATAAGCTATATCTGGACGAGTCACTGTGAGATAATTTAGTTTTCCCACTAGTCTCCTGTACTTTTCTGGATCATCAAAGAAATCACCATCATCTTTTGTAAGATGTACATTAGGAACCATTGGAGTGCTACATGGCTTGGCTCCCATCTTTTCGGTTTCTGTGAGCAGATCAAGTACATACTTTCTTTGAGACAAGAATATCCCTTTTTTTGCTTCTTGTTACTTCTATTCCGAGAAAATAATTTAGTTGGTCCAAGTCTTTTGTGTGAAATTTGGTATGCAGAAATAACTTGAGAGAGGAGATTCCTGCACAATCATCTCCTGTAATGATAATGTCATCAACATAAACAACAAGAAGAATAATGCCAGCTGCTGACTGTCTGTAGAAGACTGAATGATCACATTTGCTCTTCTTCAACCCAAACTCCTAAGCTACTTCACTGAACTTGCCAAACCAGGCACGAGGACTCTGTTTTAGACCATACAGAGATTTCTTCAGATGACAGACTTTCCCATACTCTCCCTGAGCAACAAATCCAGGTGGTTGCTCCATATACACCTCTTCTTGGAGATCACCATGAAGGAATGCATTCTTGATATCCAATTGGTGTAAGGGCCAATCTTGGGATGCAACAATGGATATAAATAGGCGGACAGAGGTAAGTTTGGCAACCGGAGAGAAGGTATCCGAATAATCCACTCCATAAGTCTGAGCAAATCCTTTTGCAACAAGTTTGGCTTTAAGTCTTGCTATAGAACCATCTGGATTGACCTTGACAGCAAAGACCCATTTGCATCCCACAGCTTTCTTGCGTTTAGGCAGATCTACCAACTCCCATGTGTGATTTTCATCTAGAGCGTTTATCTCCTCAAACATTGCATTCTTCCAACCAGGATGACTCAAGGCTTCTTTTACTGTTCTAGGCTCAGAGATTGAATCTAAAGAGGTAATTAAAGAACAAGACGCAGGAGACAGATGGTCGTAAGAAATGAAGTTAGCGATGGGATAAATAGATTTAGGGAGAGTACACTGGCGTTTACCTTTGCGAAGACTAATGGGAAGGTCAAGGTCATTTGGAGAATCAGATGACGAAGTAGCCGGTGCAGGACATATATCATTGGTCTCTTGCCTTCTGGAATAAACGTGGATAACAGGTGGCTTTACTTGAGTAGGAGATTGCTCATTAGATATTCCGGGAGATGTGAGAGAAGCGCCATCATCTGATTGCTCAATAGGAGCACTTGGATGTGTGATTTGATAGATTAGTCACTCATCTTTCTCTCCCTGACTTGTAGAGATGGAGGGAGAGGAGAAGAATGGTGTATTTTCTGAAAAGATCACATCAGTAGAAACTAGGTATTTATGGAGATCAGGTGAGTAGCATCGATACCCTTTTTGAAGACGAGAATATCCTAGAAAAGCACACTTCAAGGCTTTTGGATCCAGTTTAGTAACGGATGGCCTTACATCACGAACGTAACAAGTGCTTCCAAATACCCGTGGTTCTACTGGAAATAGTGACTTGTTTGGAAATAGAATACTATAGGGAATATCCCCGTTAAGTACTATAGATGGCATGTGATTAATCAGAAAACATGCTGTAGAGATGGCATCCGCCCAAAACTGCTTAGGAACCTTCGTTTGAAACAGAAGAGCTCGAGCTGTTTCAAGTAGATGTCTATTCTTTCTCTCAACAACTCCATTTTGAGAAGGAGTATCAATACAAAATGATTGATGAATAATCCCATGTTGAGTCATGTAAGTCTGGAATGAGTCTGACATATATTCTTTTGCATTATCACTTCTTAGTATATGCACAGAAGTATTAAATTGGGTTTTAATTTCAGCATAAAAGGTACAAAAATGAGAGAACACTTCAGATCGATTTTTCATAAAGTAAATCCATGTCATTCGAGAAAAATCATCCACAAAAGTAATAAAATATCTAAACCCAGTTTTAGACACAACAGGACATGGTCCCCAAACGTCAGAATGAACCAACTCAAAAGCAGACTCAGCTCGTTTATTAATTCTCGGACCTAATGAGCTACGGTGATGTTTTGCAAAATGACATGGCTCACAATCTAGTGAAGATACATCGTTGAACTGAGGGCATAGTTTCTTCAATGTAGACAGAGATGGATGTCCCAACTGACAATGTGCTATAAGTGGGGCGCTGGTACTGAACAAGCAACTGATCGAGGCACCCACGTATCAAGAATATAGAGACCATCAGATACATGTCCTTTACCAATAATCTGCTTCGTCATAAGATCCTGAAAAAAGCAATGATCAGGAAAGAATGAGATACAACAATTAAGATCCTTGGTAAGTCTACTTACAGAGATCAAATTAAAAGCAAGTTTTGGTAGACTCAGAACAGATGACAAGGTAATAGAGGAAGTTGGTTTAACAGTCCCAGATCCCACAATGTTATAGGTTGACCCATCAGCTATGGTAACAGGAGAAGGAGCTTTGTGTGATCGAAAGCTAGAGAAGGTACTAGAATTACCTGTCATGTGATCTGTGGCTCCTGAATCAATTACCCATTTCTTTGAAGAGAAGATAAGACATGTTTTACCTGACTCAGCAAGGGCAGTAACTGGAGGGGATTCCTTTAGTGATTCTTGATGCTGAGAGAATTTGGCATACTCATCACCTGATATCATAACAGTTTTCTCAAAAGATGAACTAGGAGTAGCAGCAACATTGGCGATCTGAGTTCTCTGATTGCGATTTTGCAATTTCCTACAGTATGGCTTGGTGTGGCCTGGTTCATGGCAGTAGTAACACACAACGCTGCTTGAATCATATTTACGGTTATCAGTATTCTTGTTTCCTCTTCCCCTATTGTTGGGCCTCCTTGCATAGTAATTTCCCCTCCTTTGGTAACAAGAACATTATTTTCCTGAATAGGTGATGTATTTTCAGTGCGTAGAACTCTACTGAAGACGTCTTGAAGAGAGAGAATTTCAGAGCTAGAGAGAATTTGAGATTTGGAAGTCTCGAATTCAGGAGGAAGACCAGCCAGGAAGCTAATAACTGCCATTTGCTCCCTTTGAATTTGCTGAACTTTGACATCAGTGCTGAATGGCAATAGCATATTAAGTTCTTCATACGTTCTTTTGAAGTCCATGAAATAAGTTGTGAGGGACTTGGTTTCCTTTTCAGCACGGTAAAAAGCCCTACAAACTTCATAAATTCTTGACACATTTCCTTTGCCATAATACAAAAACTCCAGATAGTCCATTAGCTCTTTTACAAATTTGCAGTGATTAATTAAACCAATTACCTCACTGTCAATAGAATTTCTGATTTGTAAAAAAAAGTTTTGCATCTTCTCTCAACCAACTTTGTTTTGTATCATCTTTAGGTGGATCTTTATTTAAGTGATCATCTTTGTCTATGCTCCGTAAATAGATTCTAATCGTCTTACTCCATTCCAGATAATTAGTGCTATTCAATTTATGTTCAGTGATTTTGGACATCACTGGAATGATCTCGCTCACAGATCCCTTGAACTCAGTCATCTTTCAATTATCCAATAATAGGCAGATTGAAAGACTCAATTAATCCAACTCAAACAAAACTCCACAAATAATCCACCAAGTCTAACAGCCCAAAGTTAAAATAAATATATATCTAATATGGCCCAATTAAATAGATCACGTGTGTAGAGCCCAATAGAATATAATTACCCAACTCACCAGAAAAGAAAATCCCGTAATTCAAGATGGCCGACCAGAAATTTTTCGTCCACAAAACAACGTCTCAAAGACGCGAACCAGAGGCACGAACCAGAGGCGCATACTCCAACCCAAATGGCGACCGAGGGATTTCAGAAACTACCGGCAACCCAATCGATCTACCCAGCAATCCAATCGATCTGCTGGCTAGAAACCAAACTGCCGGCAACTAGGAGTGAAACCCAAATGCCGGAATCACAGATGATGCCGCCAGAAATCCGGAGGCAAAGGGCCGACCACAGTGAGGTCGACACGCAAAGATGTCGCCTAATTCAAAGAACCGAACCACGGGTAAGATGGTTCATGGCTCTGATACCATGTAATTGAATAGAGAACTTGGAATTTTTCTATATTCATATTCATTGGAAATCACGCTATATATATATATACACATGTACAATCTCTCTAGGGTATGCTAATTTCTCTAGTTAATTACGTTAATTTAGCTATTGAAATTAGGCTAATTAGAGACTAATTAGGCTACTGTAATTAGGCCTAATTAGAGACTAATTAGCTCGTAATGTTAGCCTATTATTTTGTAACAAAAATAAATTTGGAGAATAATAAGTTTTTTAAAGAATGCAGCTCAAAGAGGGGCTAAAAGTTGTAGGCAAATTAAGTGATTATTAATTAGACTTAGGGACTATTTGGCAACTTATTTATTTATTATAATATTACAAGATATATATTACGATTTCAATATTGCATTACGTTTTGGAAGTTAATTTTTTTTTTTTTAAAGGCCAACCTTAATGATGAGAATTGAACATGAAGAAACCTCTATAAAAACCATTTTAGCCTGGCACTTTTTCTCTCTTGTTAATGCCAAAATGTTTCCATTAATCTTTTTAGCTTAAGAGATATTAGAGAAAATAAAGTAGAAGAAGAAAAGTGATTTCAACAAGTATATATTGTTCAAGTTTGAATGTTATTTTGCAAGAGATCGAGTGCTCATTTCATTTTTCAAGTCAAGGAAAGACAAAATTTAAAAGTTACAGTCGTGATTTTATGTTTTAATTTTACTATAATGTGAATAATGATCCTAATTTCAGATTCAGATGGGCAAAAAGGGGTCCTAATTAGAGAATGAGACGAAACTAAGTTAATTTATAGCACTACAATGAGCATTGATCTACTCGAGAATGAAACAATCTTGCTCAAAGAGATGGTCTAATTGAGATTGAAATCATCAATCTAATTGAAGTATGTCAGTATGTCACATTATATTATCTGAAGTAATGGAATTATATTTATGTCTTGTTGAATATTATTTTATACTAACTCTAATTAATTAAGTTATATAGGTGTTCGATAGGAGGAGGATAAAGTTGGTCAAGACTCTTGATACTAACTAGACGTGTTCTTTTCTTTGATGGTTCATTTTTGACTTTTGATGAGTATTTTAACGGATGAATTAGTAATTATATTTGCTGTTCTTGTTTCTTTAGTATGGTTCCTAATCATGTCAAGTTCCTTGGATTATTTACAAGTCCTATACAAGCTCTTGTTGGGTGATAATAGGCCCCTCTCACTCCAAAAACTAATTCAAGAGGTGAAACATTCCCCCACACTTATAAATTGAATATCAACCTCATCCACAAACGATGTGGGACAACATAAACAATCTCCCCCTCACACATTGAGCTTTGCGGAAGACCAAACACGTCTCCCCCTACACATCGGGCCCTATGGGAGACCAAACCTGCCTCTCCTTCACACAAACTCGCATCTCTGTGATTGTTGTGTCAAAGACTTGTTGATAAACCGGGCTCTGATATTAGTGTTGGATGGTATTGATCTTCTCTCATATCAAAAGTTAGCTCAAGAGGTGAGACTTTCCCTCACACTTATAAACTGAATACCAATACCATTCACATTTGATGTGGGATAACCTCAAGAGCTCTTACTTTTGCAACTCTAACCACAGGTGAATTTATGTAGGGCCTCATTTAAACGGTCTCTTTTTGGTTTTTCAGCTTTCACAAAACAATTTATGTGCGGCTCAAGATAATTACTAAAGGAATAAATGTAGAACAACACGATGTAGGATATAAAATATAAAGTATTAGGAATGATAAACAAAAAATTACTATATTAGCGAGTTGTAAAAAAAGGAAGAGATCTAATAGATCTTCTTGGATGTATGTAGTAGCGTTGTCAAGATTTTCATGTGGATGTGGAATGGGGGCGAAAAAATGTTTGGTAGGGGTGCAGCTTTCAACTTGTTTGTACAAAATCAACGTATATGTAGCAGAATTATTATGTATGATTTCTATATAAATCAGGGACGGACTCAGGCCCAACATATTTTTTTTAAAGGTATTTTTTAATTTTTTTGGGTAAAAAATCAGTTTTTTATGTGTAATTTTTTTCCCACGTAATAGCTCGATTTGAAATTTTATAGTCCGGTCTTAGATCCAATCCTGAATCCGTCTCTGATGTAAATCCAAAAAAAATCAAAAATTTGCCGAGGCGATCGCACCCCCGCTCCCATGTGAATAAGTCACCGGATGTGTGAATTGTTGGAAAGTTACTTCATTTTTATTTTATGTTTCGTAAATCATGCATTTGGGTGTGGAAACGGAAATCAGATAATTTCAAATTCAAGGTTTGTTTTCATTTTATACATTTGAAATTCTAATTGGAATCAGATTTTTCCTCCTGGAATTGCAATTAAAGAAACCCGGTTTAAGTTTGCAATTACTATTTTCTTCTTCCTAATTTGGATTCGAAGATATAAATCCATACACATAAGTAGGAACTTGCCTTCTTTACTTTAGGACACTGGACTCAAGTATTTAGACCCCGTTTCTATAAACATGGTTTCAGTATTCCCAACTTTCAAGGTCTCTGGCTTCCATATGAATGTAGGTTCGAGTTTTGACTCTAATGCTACAATTATTGGTGCAGTGACATGGAATGTAGTCGTTTAAACTGAAATAGGATGTAAATTTATATTTCACAAGTTTATGCCGAAACAATTTCGAAACCTTAATTTTGTTCTTAGTCAAGGATGACAGTTTATTGTTTCTATTTATATTGTGGTCTCTTGGTAGAACAACAATCCATTGTAATTGTTATGCGACTGGATCAATCAAGGGGTGTTTGATAACATCGTTCTCGACTCACCACTAAACATGTTCAGTGCTTATTGAATTAAGCATGTCTGAAAACTAAAGTAATGTCATTTAGTCACATTAGAGTTATAATCTCAGTTTATACGGTGTTAGATGATAAACTAAATGAAATGTAGAATTAAATTTTCATTTCATTTAATTGTATTTATCATTTAATATCACATTAGTGTCACATAAATCATGGTTATAATCTTAGTGAGACAAAATAATATTACTCAAACTTTTAAGTCGTACAAGTTACAAGTTGTAAATCAACTTAATTGATGTACTCATTTTTAATAGAATAATGTTATCTAACTCCAGTTTAAGTATCAGCATATCATGAACCCTAATGAATGAGTCATAAATTCTTATATTTAATTAAAGCTACAATTGAATGGCACAAGTATTATCACCTAAATTGATATTAAACACCAGTAATGCTAAATAGTATTACTGTTTCTAAAAATAGCCCAAGGTTTCTGTCTTGTGGCATGCTACATGTGAGGCAATCACTAAAAGCCTTAAAGTTTTTGCCTCAAGACTTGAGCCTCATGACAGCCAATATGTGCATATCAGTTTCGCCTCTCCTGTGCCTTCTATAACTATTATAGGGTTTTCAGTTATGAATGAAATGAAAATTAGATAAGAGAACAAGTGAAGCTACTCGTACCCCACCTCGTACAACTAAAATACAATACCAAGTCAAGTCGTATTTTCTCGACGGTAGACACGCCGCGAAGAGAACTAACGCACATAATTTCACTGTTCACTCTCTTTTATATCTTTTCTTCTTGTTGTCTCTATTATCTTATTTTTTTGTAAAGCTTGAAAAGAATAAAAAAGATTAAATAAAAACGGCAGAACTGAAAATAGTTATTATGGTGAAGTTGATCCATGAAACTATTTACGTTTATGGTGTTAAGACTGAGAGTTCCATATTAAAAGGTCAACCTTGTTGAGAGGAATATCTCAAATATTTATAAATTGGTCTATGTTTTCATCTTTATTCAATGTGAGATTTTATTCCTTAACATACCCCCGCAACATGGTAGCTCGTTTGAGCAGACCAATCTTGAAACTTCTTTGATATGGTTTGTAACTTACATGATTGTAGGCTAACGCAGTGTTGGGGATGGCTGTTCATGATGAATGTAAGTTGAAACAAGATGTACTTTATTGAGACTAAGAATGGACCGATTATTAAATCTTGGATGAAAATTTCATTTTAGGGTGGCCGATTCTCCAGTGTTTCTTGCGTCTGAAAAACAGCTGCTTTGAATGCCTCTGCCATGAAAGCAAAAAAGAACATATCGATTTATAGTTTTCAAAATTGAAGAGAAGCAAAAGCTGGTCGTCGTTGAAAAAGTTGGTGACCCAAGTGAAAGCTATGTGGAATTCACTGCAAGTCTTCATGCTAATGAATGTTGCTATGTTGTGTATGATTTCAATTTTATCACTGAGGAGAACTGCTAGAAGAGTAGAAACTTCTTTGTTGGTTGTTAACATAATCCCATTTGTTTCTTCAGGGCATCTTTGTTAAGGTGGATTGGATGGTATTGAATATCGTAGTGAGGAACTATGAATAGCATTACTCTAACTTAAATAAGATTAACATTTATATTTGTTGATAACAAGATATATTAACTAAGAGCATACTAGAAAATTAAAGAATATCTATATTTTCAATAAAGAAAGTGATCTATAATTTGAAATTGATGAAAAAGAAAACAAATTATCATCACATGTCAGTCGTCCAAGATTATATTTGCAATCACAAATATATTTTCCAGTGGCATTGGATTTACTTTTGTTGCGTGTGTTTTTTAGGAAATATTTTCCATTATATAAAATGGCAAAATCTTATATGGATCTTGTTCAAGTGGTTAGAATGTACTATGACCCCACATTTGCTCTAGGAGTTTGGTTCACAGGTATAACATTTGTCACTTCATGGTATACCTATGGATTGGCAAGAAGACACAAACCTATAATGAGACAGCTAATAAGTACATGGTCAACAAATAAATTAAATGGCATTAACTTACCAAATAAAAAAATAAAACTAAATGGTCTTCACATAATTAAATAAAAATTTAATCATTTGTCATCTAGTTTCCTATTTTAATATATCTTACATTTTCGACCAACTTTGAGTATTTGACCATTGAAAGTCTACATATAGAAAAAAAATTCTTAATTAGTTCACCAATGAAATAAAAGTGTAGAGTGTATATAAAATAAAAACAAATTGATAAGAAATAGGTGTTGGATGTATTGCTTATTTATCAAGAGAAGTAACTTTCTTTAAAATAAATTCAGTGCAAAACAAAAGGGGGCATATAATTCATTCAAGGTCGTGTATGGGCCACAAGGTTTCCATTTGGAGGAACAAATTGGCAAGTACAATCATCTAATTCAGAACTAAGAGGTAGCCTATCAACTCGAATCGAAGCATTTGCCACATGGTTAACTAACTTCAGATTAATGGACGAGCATCATATTCGGCTATATCAATTTTTAGTAGGTAAAATAGATCGATTGTGTTACATGTACATAATAGGTTTACATACACATGATATAGTAAAATATGATTTGATCAAAATTTCTTCCAAAAAAACAAAAAAAACATTCTCACTATCTTTTTGACACTTCATCTGTACATAAATTATTATGTAACTATTTATGTACAAGTATTATTCTTCAAAATCGATTAAAAAATATCGGATACTATTGAAGTACGAGGTTGAAGTTTGTGTATTTCAGTGATGAAGTTATGAAATTTGTAGTAAATTGAAATTGAGTGACTATTTAGTAAATTGCAAATCATCTGGAAAGGAAAGAAAAATGAAATGGAAAAGTACAGTGAAAAGGAAAACTTAGATTGGGACCCAAAGCAAAATTAACGTAGAAATAATAATGTCACATCACTGTCTTTATATTTGGTAATTTCAATCAGCGCGTAGACCAATCAACCATCATTACGTAATCATCCAATAACAAATCCACCATCTCAACTTTTATAAGTCTTTATATATTATTCAATAATGAAAAATTTCAGCTCTATAATTTCCTATTTTAATGCGTGAACCCCGTTCCGCAGTAACTGCGTATGGGTTCCAAATTCTTCCACTTTCTATTGGAGGTGTTTGTTTTTGTATCAAATTTAATCTGTGAATGA